CATATTATTCAGGTATGTGTCTATTTGTCTTGTTGTGCTTATATAAAATTGGTGGACTATCCATCTCAGTGTGTGTTCTCTTTGCTTGAAATATATTCAGGGTATTAAGAAAGTATACTACAAAAAGAAGTTCCATTCCACGCTATGTTGCTGGGCATCAACATTTGACATGCCTGAGGCGGGCCTTATGCTTCTCTTCTCGAATGGAAAGATTGAGATTAGGTGATGTTTCTTCTACTGTGTGACCAAAATATATATGAGAAGTATTCTGCTCGGTAATATTATCATGAACTGTTCCTTTATTCTTGATTCTATCATGGATCTTACAAGCTTTTACCGGCATAGAAATGTTTAGTCTCGGTTCTAGTTCAAAAGCATACTACGGCATACTAGATACTGGATATCTAAACCATTAATCTTGTCTCGGGGACAATAATACAATTTTTTAAAACATGTAGATTTTGCCTCTTCAAAACAGAGCTTATTAGTTTGCATTTCTATCATTTCCTTTTCTGAAGTCCTGTAGGTAAGCTACAAAGTGCATTTAAATGCAAAATATGAGTGCCACTAGAGACATACCTCGTGGAGACTTAGAGGTAAGTACCACAAAGTAGTGGTTAGACCTACTATGTTGTATGGGGTGGAGTGTATAACGAAGATGAGGATGTTGAAATGGATGTATGGCATACCAGAAGAGAGAAGATTAAGAATGATGACATTGGGTCCAAGGTGAGAGTGGCTTCCATGGAGGATAAGATGCGGGAAGTGAGATTGAGGTGGTTCAGGCATGTGTAGAGAAGATGTGCAGATGACTCAGTAAGGAGGTGCAAGAGGTTGACTGCACTGAGCTTGAGGAGGGGTTGATGTAGGCCTAAGAAGTATCGGACTGAGGTGATTAAGCAGGACACAGTACAACTTCATCTCACTGTGGACATGACTCTCGAAAGGAAGGTGTGGAGGTCGATAATTAGGGTAGAAGGTGTTGGTAGTCAGGAGTATTGATATCCATTCCCAGATTATTAGTATTATTCTTGTATCCTTAAATTTTTATTCCTACCTGTTATTTCTTTAGCCTCGATTATTATACTATCTTGTTGTTGTATCTGCTTGTTGCTACTGCTTTCTTTTACATCTTTCTTTGAGTTGAGGGTCTATCTTAAACAAATCTATACCTTCTCAAGGTAGAGGTGAGGTCTGCGTACACTTTACCCTTCCAAAGACCCCCCCACGCCTGAGATTAGACCAAGTTTGTTGTGAGTGCACATTAGAAGTTTGTGGTGTCTAAATTGGCCTTGTTGTTTTTCTCCCTCAGTTCCTCCTTAGTTATATGTTTTCACTGAAAGGGGGAAATTATATGCATCCTTCTGAATTTATTTTGTAAAACTTCAGGTCTCTTCCAGAGTTGTCCCTTTTAAAGGAAACTTCAGTTAGAGGCCTCGTACTTTCGCCACCGAAGGCAAACGCCATAGCTGACCATTCAGTATGCGCTTCAAAAACTGGTGAACTCATAGTGGTATTGCACCGACACTTCAGGCTTTTTTCTGTTTCTAATGAGGTTTATATACCTTAAGCTCTAACTTAAACTCAAAAAATTATTTATGACTAGGTTGACAGGGATCAAGAAATGTTCTTCGTCTCAGTTTCCTTGCAAAATGACACCTTCAGGTGACAAATGTTTCAGCAACCAAATATTTTTTTTTTCATTTGACATTTCTTTTTGGCTTATTTCTGTGAAGGATTAATCGAACATAGTTGCATTCCCCACCTCCTTCACTTCCCACTGAGAATTCAATTATTTTATAAGAAATACAGTATCCCCTGCAATTCATAGTATTGCTGCATGATAGGTTCCTGGACTCTGCTTCTCATGTTTATGATAGAGATTTAGTGGTTGAACCAGGGAAGATCTATGCACCCATCATCCAAAAAGAAAAGAAAAAGGTTGGGTTCTCCTACCTCTGAAATTTTAAGTTAACCTTCAGTCATTATTAAATAATTTCTTTGACATTCTTGACTGTAGGGAATTTTTGGATCTGTTTTCAAAGATGCCAAGGGAAATAAGGCAAACAATGTGCCTGACGCCGGAGTTGAAAATGCAAGAGCAAGTATTGAAGAGATGTCTGCAATATTTTCAGCTGACAACTTTCCATCACTCACCCACAGTGAAGAGAAGTTAGGCAGGAACGAAAAGGATGCTGACTTGGATATAGGTATAGGTTATCTCTTATAATGGTTGTCCGCTTCTTCATCATTCACTTCTTCCATTGAACTGAATACCTGGCAACGCCATGATAAGGGCCTCATAATGCTCTTCTCAGACTAAACTGAAAATCAGACGCAGAAGAAAGTGGAAGTGAGAATAGTAAAGAAATAACAACCTAAAAGAGTTGCAATTTAACTTGCTGAACTATTTTATATTTTCATGAAAAGTTCCGGTTGATGAAATTCTGGAGAGCATTACATTAAAGAGTTGCTCATAGTTTACCCTTTTTTGCTTTTTCAAACTATGCAACTACCTGCTGCTAAGTTTCTGTTTTCCCTTAAGATGACATTGAAATTGAAGATCCAGTAGAGAAACAGAAGGGAAATCCAATGGTTGCAGCACTAAACAAGCAGAACCTTACAAATACATTTCAGGCTCTGAAAGGTAAGTTATTAGAGTGAAGAAGTTGATACTTATCAACACTTACATCTTTCTGCAGTGTAATGATAATGCAATCTCATGAGTCTACATTCTTTAGTTTTAGGCTTTCCCATCAGTCGTTATCTGCCTTTTCTTAATATACTTGGAAGTTTTATTGACACTTTCAGCTTTCAACTAAGTAATATTAGTGCTGTCTCGCAAATCTCCATTCACCAGTTATTCGGTTTTCCCATCTTTATTTAGATAGCTTTTCTACTACACTTAATAACACTGTGCTGAATGACCAGTAGTTCTACATCATTTTCATATTTTTCATTTAAAAATCATTGCTCTTCTTTTTACAGGAAAGTTTATGCCCATGAAGGTCAAAAACGATAAAGCCCCGATAAATGATGCACCACAAGATGACAAGGCAGATACTGTTGGTCAAATTAAGAAAAGATATGGGTATACTGCTTCAGCTGTAAGTTCTCTTTCCTGCATTCCCAGTTTGTTTGGCTTGAGGAAGAGTAAGTAAGGGCATTAAATTTGTTTTGTCTAATTGAAAAGAGAGTGAGAAAGATATATTTGTTGAGAAATAAACAATGTTTTGTCTAATTGAAAAGAGAGTGAGAAAGATATATTTGTTGAGAAATAAACAATGTTTATTAGCATCCCTTTAACTTCCTACCTGTTGGGCAGTAAGCCAGTAAACTCCAACAATCAATCCTTATTTCAACTATTTTAGCAATTTGACTGAGATGTTGAGTTGCATGTAGTTCCATGGCAAGCTAACATTTGTAAGAAAATTTTCCTATGTTGATTGCAGGAACCCAGTGCTACAGAGGCAGCAAAGTCAAAGCTCAGTGAAAATCTGAAGAAGTTGCAGGTACTATATGGTGACTCTCATTACTCATGGACATATTTTCAAAACTGAGTTTACCCTACATGATTTTGTATGGCAAAAGGGAATATTGCTTATAAATTTGAAAGGGTTCTTTGTCTATGTTTTAGATTATCTAAGTTAGAAGCAAGCAGAACAGAGAAGGTAGTGAAGTTTTGTAAATTTGCATGTGCAGGGCATCAACATTAGAAGTGCTGAGATGCAGGACCAAGCCAAGTCATTTTCTTCCATGGCTAAAGAGGTGTTGCGATTTTCTGGAAATGACAAAGCAAATTCGTGATTGCTTCACTCCACACAAAGATGTTTTGCTGGAAATGTATAGTAAATTACAATTCTGAGTATTTTTCTTGATGTTTTACCTATTTATTCATTTCAATGAGACTTGGAGTTGGAGATTTTCTTTTCTTCTTTCTTTTATTTATTATATATATATGTAAATGGCACACAACATTTGATATGATTCTTTCACAGAGACGCTAGTTTTTAGGGGTAGACAGTGTTTCCCAGTATGAAGTCATGTTGATCCGTCTTTTATGTAAATTGAAGGTTATTAATGTATTTGTATTTGCAGCTCAGTACAATCTGATATCCATACATGCATGTAGAAATATCTGCATCTGATTCACAATTTTCACTGGGATAGTGAAAACACGAGAACAGTAAGAAGGCGAGAGCAGAATCATTCATTCCCCTCTAAGCGCTTTCTCAAGTTTGCAGCAAATGTCTATCAATCCCTACATAAAATTGAAAGAGAGATTTATTTGTGTTGAGAAAAACGGAGGACACTCGGTAAGAGAAACATATTTGTATACAAGCCTTGGACATCCCCAGTATGGAAGCAGATTTATGAGGGCTTATTTTGATCGAGTCCTCGTTCTGGGGATATGGATGGAGAAGGTGATAGTTTAACTCTATAGGTACTGAGGCTTCTAAGAGACTCTTCTATTGAAGTTGTGTTTTGATTACACCTAGTTAAACATCTGTCATCATATTGGAGAATAACACTGAAATACGAATAATTGGTCAACTGAGAGGATATGAACAAGGAAATGGTCCCATATGCCAAAAGGAACGATATAGGCAAAATTATAGACACTTGAACTACTGCACAAGCAAATGGAATATCTTAATGCCAAGATTCAAATGGCTGGCCATTCTGAAACTTAATAAATTAGTACATTACTCTATCTGTCACACACGTTAACTCACAGCTAGATAACTCCCACTCTTGAAGATTCACATACGACTATTAAAATAATAACCACGTGTTCTAATCGACTATAGAATCCTATTTCCTGTTTACACAAATGTGAAAATCACATGGAAATGGAAATTTCTAGCGAGAATCAGATCGGGACCCAAACACCATAAATAAAATTAGCAGAAAGTTACCGTTGATTCAATAATATTAAAACGAAAACAAGAAGATACTATTTAGCATCAAATATGATAAACTGAAATGTATACTAGCAACAGAAGGAATTTCCAAGCTAAATTTTCATTAACATCAGCAAAATAGAGAAATTACATAAACTACTTGAGCTTTCAAGGCAAGTCATCTGAATTTCACCTTTCTGTCCAAACTAAACCCTCAAAGAACAAAAACTAGACAAAAAATGTAAAAAAAGAGGGCATCTATTTATCAAGGAAGGACTGAGCAATTCCTACATGAACTTATCCATCATTCTCTGAATTTCAACAGCCTACTGATTGTTTAATCATCATCCTCCTGTGAAAACATGAATAAAAATCATGTATAAGAACTCACAAATCACAAAAAATCAACAAACTAATAGACGATAATTAGACTCGTAAAAATACGAACCTCTTCACTTCCATCATCGTCCTCATCATCATCATGTACCTCAGACTTGGACTTGTCAGACTCATCATCAGCATCACCAGCAGCCTGTGTTGCATCGGATCAAATTAAAAATTAGAAATGGAAAAAGCAGACCATGAACACACTAAGGTTACATCAGTGAGAATATAGTATTTACCAGTTTCTTGTTATATGCATCCATGCTCTTTTGGTACTCAGCCTTCCTCTTCTCAGCCTTGGCTTGGTAAGGAGCTTTCTCCTAAAAGAACAAAGCAGAACTTCAGTACATAGTTCGTTTGAAGACAAAACGCATAAAGTCAAAAAGTCAACTCGAATAGAATTTTCCAGTATATGATTTGAGGCTTATACTCACTTCATCTGACAACTGTTTCCACTTGTCTCCACCAGCTTTGCCAACCTACAATTTAGTGAACAAAGATCAATTAAGCAAAAGGTCAAAAAACAAAAACCGACAGATGCTGCTGAAAATAAGGATCTACTTAGGGTAAACTACTCACAACAGCAACAGATTTGTTGTTTGGGTGCTTCTCCTTGTAGGTCTTCCTAAACTCCTCCCTTCATTCAAAAAGGGAATGAACACCGTTAGTATATCGGCCTTAAACACATAAAAATCACAAAACACACAACGATTAGATGCATACATGAAAACGAAGAAGGCACTTGGAGGCCTCTTAGGCTTGTTTGGATCCTTAGCAGCGTTCTTCGCCTTCTTACTCTCAGTAGCCTTCTTCCTTACACCAAGCCTATAACAATTCACCAAACTTTAACAACAGGAATCGAAAAAATTCTCACATAGAAACACCACAAAAACCTAGATCTGAAACCGTAAACACGAATCAAATCAAAACCACAACTAAAACAAAGTCAAACTCACTTGGTATCAGCTTTAGCCTTTGATTTAGCTCCTTTCATGATGAAACCTGCAACGAAAACACGAAAACCGTTGAGAATCGGTGATGAACCGGCGGAAAAAGGTGAAAACTCGGCCGAGGTAGTGAGTAAAGCGCCGTAGGGTTTACCTCTAGAGAGAATTGGATATTATTCGTTTGTGTGGATTTGGTGCGTTGCCTTGTAAGTGTTGAGTTGTGAATGGGAAAGGGGTCTATATGAAGGGGAGCGAGAAATAACAAGGGCTTTTCGCGCTGAGGGACTCTAAAAGAATTTTGCCTCTAAAAAATCGAATCGGAGATGATTTGGGCGGGATTTCGAAAATTATTTTGCCACGTCAGCGATCCGTGTGAATGTGTTTAAGTGGATATAGTGCTCTTCTCTTTTGAGATATTTTGGGTTTTGGGCGTTGTGTTTTCTCTGTGTTTCTCAAAGGGAGGATCCTGGCCGTTGATGAGGAATTATTGAGGAAGTTTGCGGACACGTGGAGGGATCTTAGGAGTTTGGGGTTTTTGGTAATTTAGCACACACGTGTAGTGGTTTAGGGGTGGAATGACGAAGTTAACCTTTTGTGTTATGACGGTTCTGTAAAGGGGCGGTGTGGGTATATTAAACAAATCTAGACAAATGGAATCATTGATGACGGATCGCGAGTGGGAGGGTGATTTGGTCAATTCACGAGGTGAAAGAATCTCTTCTTTAGTTTTTTCTTGCAATTACTTTTAAGAAAAAAAGTCAATAAGATATTTCTGTTTCATTTTAAGAAAAAAAAAAAGGTTAAAGATGAATGTGTGAGCAAGTATATTACAAGAGATAAGATTACAGTAATATATTTTGTAAAATTTTATTAAGTGAGATTTGGATAGATAAAATTTACATAAATTTTGTCATTATTTAGTGGAGATCGATATATTATTTTTGAAAAATTCTCATTTTGAGTGCGTCAAGTTTAAGTAAAACAAGAGGAAAACGACAAAGAAGACAGTAGTTATATAAGAAATACAATCTACATCGGACAAAATAATAATAACAGTAATAAAACAATGTAATTAAATACAATAAATAACATATGACAATAAACATCAAAAGCAAGAATCACGAGTAACAAACCTAAACCCTAACCCTAACTAGTAAGATAATGCTCTATCATAACTAACTTTTTTACACTAACACGGCCTTCATTCTATCCTATTTAAAATCACGTCCTTAATACTATGAAGTTGTATCTGTATCTTTTCTAATTACCTTTTCCTAATACTTTTTTTTGTCTACTTTTACTAATTCGCTTGCCCCCCTATAATTAGCCTCTTGCATATCCTTACTAGAATGCATACGCACCTCCTCTTCGTATGCTTAAATCATCTGAATTTTGCTTCCTTCAGTTTTCTCGAATAAGAGACAGAATAAGAATGATAATATTGAAAATAAGGTTGGAATGATTCCATAGTAGATAATACGAGAGAAGTGATGTTGAAGTGGCTCTGTTCATGTAAATATGAGATGAATACATACCTAGTGAAGAGTTGTTCAAAATTTGTTATGATGAGTTTAAAGAAATGCAGATATGATAAAAAAATATTTTGTGAGAGTGAGTAGACAAGACATTCCACACTTGCATAATTACGAAGGAATTTTCCTTAATGTGAGGGATATGACAGTCGAAGTTTAGGTTGAAAAGTTAATAAGTAGGGAAGACCCTTTGGGGGTGGCCCAGTGGTTTGGACTTGGAACTTCCATGTTGGAGGTCTTAAGTTTGAATTTTTTTGCCAGTCAAAGCAAAGGGTTTGCCTTCCGAGTCGAGCTCGTCACACTGGGCTTGCCTGGTACGAGTTACCTCTTTTGTGTGATTTGCGAGCTATTGCATAGGAGCAAGGGTTTTACCTCATGCGCACCCAAAGAATATCGATTGCAGATTTCTTTGTCATAAAAAAAAAAAAAGAGTAGGTATACGCGTTTATTTTTTCTAATCAAAATTGCTATATAGTATAACTCTACACTATCTTACTATTAGATCTTATTATTACTTCGTTATTATTTTTACTTTTATCATCGTAATTTTTTGTAATTGTTATTATTCCTTTTACTTTTTATTACTATTTATTTTCATACTTGATTGTTATATTTTTTCCAAGACAAAGATCTTTCAAAAATAAATTGATGAACATGATATCAACGTCTATTTCAATGAAAATAGTTAACTGAATTATATATTCATTGAATACTTTAACTTCTCGATTCTTGTTTTTAAAAGTAGAATAAAAACTGAGTAATTTAACCACCTATAGTTGAGAGAAGTTGCTAGTCATTGACATATCGATTATAATCAGTGGTGTGAATTCACGATTTTTCGTTTTTGAAAAATGAAAGTATAAGCGTGTAAATAAGTTTTTAGAAACCGTTGAATTCATTTAGGTTTAGAAATCACACTTTTGGCACGCTTTTTTTTTTTAAAAAAAGTGAAAAACAAAACAAAAACTAAAATAGGAAACAATAAAACAATAAAACGCTATCACAGAACTTCAAACTAGTGACATGAAGTTTAATTTTAGGTGAACTTGTCACTATGCTATCAATTTTTCCATGTCCTTGAAGGGAGTCTCTCTCTATATATATACAAAAATATAAAAAATTTATCTATATATATACAAAAATATAGAAAATTTACCTTTTATATATAGTGTAATTTTTTAAAAAGAAGATTTAGATGAACCCCTTGTAATAGCTAAATTCTTATACAATATGAATGTAATTTATTATAATCGAGTGATTTAAATGAAAAAATAAACATTAAAGGATCGTTTGGTTTAATGTATTAATCATATTTTATCTGTATCGAGATTGTAATATATGATCATTGTACGAAAATCATTATAAGAATAAATAATACAAGGATTGGTATATAATGAGTAGATATTATGAGAATTGTTTTAATGAGTAGATATTAATGAGAATTGTTTTAATGATTATATATTGTAAGGATATTCTTTTGTATTTAGATACTTTCTGTTGACATATTATTACTACTACTACATGTGCTGTTTATTTCATTTTCTATTTGAATCAAATAATTTATTTTTTTAAATATTTTTTAATAATCTATATAGAAATATTTAGATAATATTCTTATCTTCAAGAAAGAAAAAGGAAGAGAAGAAAAAGATTAAAAATAAATAAGAGGAAAATCAATAAAAATAAAAATAATAACATATTTATTAAATTTTTGTAAACGAGATCTATAAGGATAGAGACTAAAGTATACACATATCTTGCTAGTACTCGATGAAGGTATATGTTGTTTCTAAAATACCTTAACTCAAGAATAGCAGATTAAAGTAAAAAAAAAAAATCATAAAAATATAACAACTAACAAAAAAAAAAAACACTGTAAAACTTGTAATCAATCAATAAAAATAGATAAAATAAAATAATTTACATAATATTCTTAAATAAATATTATAAAGACTAATTTTACAAATACAATATAAAAAAAATAAAAAATATAATAATAAACAATAAATTATTAAGAAATCAAGCCACCGTAATAACTGATTGTCATAACTAGATTTTTACTGTATCGATAATAAGTTCACTAGTTGTAAGTGTATTTTATTAAAAAAATAAAAATAAACGAGGAGCATAATTACTTTATTTTCAAATATTTTTTATAATGTTTTTATTTTATTATTATTATTATTTTTTTTTTTAAAAAGAAAAGGAGAGTCCAAGCTCATATTGGTCCCAAAGGAGACGAAGAAGAAACTTATAGGGTCATACAGATCGGAAAATCCTTAATAGATTAGCAGAAAAGAGCGGTTCGGACGGAAAATCAGCAGAAAATGGAAGAATCAACGGCGAACCTAGAGAGGTCGGTAGCCGCGCCGATGATATTCATTATAGTGTTAGCTTTGCAGTTCCTTTCTCGCTTTATCGAAATCAATAAAAAGGTTAGTTTCTCATCATTTCTGATGTTTATTTTCGCGTTATGTTAATTCCACAATGAATCGATATGAACTGTATTGATGTTTTAATCTTAATTTTGATTTGGTGAAATAGTTGCTTTTAAATCTCCATCGCTATTTCAATGATTTGATTAATTCAATGTGGAGGCTTGAGTCAATTCGCTTTGTTCTATTCAATTATAGACATCTGATAGCAATTGATTTTGAATTTTTTTATGATATGATAATTTTTTCAGAAAGGTTCTACAAGTTCAGAAGATTTGCAATTGCGCGCAGAAATCAAACAGCTTCTAAAGGAGGCAAGTGCCTTGTCACAGTAAGTGAGCTTCACAATGTTTTGACAATGATGCACGATGGTGTTTGGGCCAACTTGAGCTCACACCTCAATTAATCAACTAGGCACCTGCTATCCAGCACAATTAGTCAACTAGGCACCTGCTATCTCGTCTACCACGAGCACAAGTACATGGTAACTTTGTCTACCAAGGTTTAGACAGATGAAAAAATCGCCTAGTCGTTTTTGTCTTTGCTGCGATTTGAATCCTGAATTCGTACTGTCCGTCACAGTTTCAGTGACTGTTAGTGCTCACATGTAGTTTCGGTCATAACTATTATCTTTGCTTTGTATGTCAAAGTATCCTAAACAAGATGCCGTTATGTTTTCTTTGTTGTGATTTTTTCAAAACTATCCCTGTTTGTAGAGTTATTTACTGTAGTTATACTCGATAGATAATTACCTCTTGATAAGTTAGTAACAGGTAATTAAAATAGGAAGTGTAGTCTTCAAGAGACTACAGGATAATTTTCTCTTTTCATAAAATAAATAAAACTGATCTTGTCATTATGGAAGTTCTATGATATGGAAAATATGATTATGCCTTCACGTGTATTTCAGGCCTTCAACATTTGCACAAGCTGCAAAACTGAGGAGGTTAGCTACAGCCAAGGAGAAGGAACTTGCAAAAAGTATGGCTTGTATTCTATGTTCTTTAGCTGTATTCGTAATCCATATCTAGAATCGACTAACACTATAGTTGAAGGCCTCATGGCTCATAGAGCGATAGATTATTTGTGAGTCCTACTTTCATTTTCTCGTTTGAACCTAGACTCAAAATGATTACAAGTTTGCAGCTTTGATGACTATTCAAATAGGAACATGGCTGTGCTGCCATGGCTTGACATAGTAACTTTTGGAAGGAATATTGGACTTGTCTTCTGTCCTTTCTCCACTAACTTGCTGCCAGTGACAATTTCTTGACCCACTTAATGAAGTGGTCCTTCTTCCATAATTGTGCCCAGATTTATACTGCCTCTAATATAGACGAGAGATACATTCATTATGCCCCATCCCACCAAATTACATTTATGATGGAAAGAATCACCTCGAGAGCTAATGATTTTTTATCAATAGCATTACTAAGCATAGAACAAGCATTCTGTGATGGAATTCCAAAATGATATGAATTTCTCCAGTGTACTCAGATTACCATCACTAGAGAACCATGAGATGAATGAAGACCCGGAATTAGTTGGAAGCACATTAGGTTGTGCCAAACTGCCAATGTTATGATGATTCAAATTGTCTTTAGTACTTTTGCTATTGAATGCCTGGATTGAGCTGAATGCAAGAGTAAAAAATTGTTTTTTGAGGCTTATTGTAGAGGAACAAGGTGCACATACTAACTCTTTTACCTGAACATGACTTCTTCTTAGTATTTCCCTGTCCTATCCTATTCTAGCATATGAAGGAATTTAAGCTTGCATGTAGTAGCAAATTAATTGATATTTTGGGGAGATCTCAGTGAAATGGGTCTCAGTGGCTGTACTCCTTTCAGTTTGGAGCCTGTGAATGTTGGAGCTCATGGACCAAGTGCAGATGCCTACCATGAGGAACTTAAACCGCTCAACCTTTAAAGTCGCCTCAACAGGAAATTTATACAATATTCTAATAGTGATAGTTGAAGTTTTCTTCCAGAAGCTGGACTAAATAAACCAAGTCTGTCTCCTCCTTATAGTTAGACTTATGAGAAGTTGTGGTTAGTGCTTGTCTTTTGCAAATTACTGGCTTTATGTAACCATATATATTCAAGCAGAAACACATACAAAGCACAGATTAACATGCTGATTCTTTCCTTGTTAATAAGCACAAATATTGTGGATACTTTGATCAAACATCAAGTTTAGCACGAATAACTCCTGCAGAGAAGTAAATTCTTTGGATGACATTCTTGGGAAGGCATTGTGTTTTGGATTCTGATTTTTCTAGGAGAAAAAACTGTCAATTAGCGATTCTTCATATTGGAAGGTGTAAAACATAAACTACAATGCTACCAAATGGATTGATCCAAAGGAAGGAAGAGAAAAATCCACAATTTATTACTGAAAAAATACACTTTCCTTAATTGAAAATAATGATAAAAAGACTCTATAGGGATGTCTTGCGTTGAACTTAAACAAGTGAATCAGAGATAGGAATGCTAAGATAGTAATATTAGTGGTCTTGAGATCTACAAGCAAGTAAATTTGATAGTCAGGATGGGTAAATCATGGATTTAAATCACTAAAGTAGGTTTGCCAGATTGAGGAAATGTGTGTAACAGACTACTTTTCAAACTTGAAGGTGGCTTTCTAGTCTGGTAATGTGACTAAGCTATGATCCAAAGTATATCACCTCCCTATCTAGTGCTCTCCTCTATGTTGATATTTCTTTCTCGTCATTTTGTCTTATTCACTTGCAAGTTACACATCAGTCTTCATAGCACATACAAACTAGTTGATATTGAGGTTTAGGTATGTTTGTACGGTTAACATACAAACTAGAGAACTTTTAGTGTTAGAAAACTTAACATATTGGACTGGAATGGAACGGGTCCAAATGAAGTGAATTGGTAATGAGGATAAATCATACTATCCTCAACCAGCTGGGGTTTGAGGCATATAACTTATTGTTGTTTTTGGTGTTCTCTTTATAGCATATTCTATTTGGGTGAAATTTATCAATAAATTTAATTAGTCCTCATCCTCTGATGAAGATCAAGAAATTCACAACAAAGAGGCGAAATTGTCACATGATTCATACACAAAAGGCCTAACTATTTTTCAGGTATGCATTGGATTCATTAAGTGATTTTTACAAGCTTCCTTTAAGCTGTAAGATGCTTATTTACCCTCCTTAATCACACAGGTCTTGACATACTTGTTGTTGATCATTTGGTTTTGGCGTATTCCTGTGGCTTCCATATCTAAGCAGCTCGTACAGCCTTTTGGTAATACTTCTGATTCCTAGATTAGTGAGCTGTAGCCATACCTACACGACATTTTGTGACCATTATGTATGCTTTAAATATTGTTTACCCATTTATCAATTTGCTTTGCTCGTCTTCCATTGTGATTTATGATATATTATTGCTTTCACCGACTTTTAAGGAGATCCTTGTTCTTGTTTCCATAGATATCTTCCTGTGACATACTTAGCTATTGTTCTTCCACTTCTGCAGGGAAGATGTTGTCTTGGCGAGCTGGAGGCCCTGCCAATGAAAATGTTATGGTAATGATTAGTCGCCATTGTTTCTCTACTGTCATTTATTCTTTTAGGGGATATAGTGACTGAAAATAGAGCATTCCTGTAAGGGGGAGGGTAGGTCTTGGGTTTGAGACTCTGAAGGTAGAGCCAGCACTCGTGCAACATATCACATTAAAGCAGCAGCTCCTGCATTTTTCCTAAGACACCAAAGTTGCTTGTCTTTTGGTTGAATGACATTTTAATGGTTTGTTTAATGAACTTGCAGGTGGGGATTATTCCGTGGTTGATACTGTCTACTAGAGTCGGCAAATCTATCAGCCGAAGAATATTCAAGTAGGAGGAGAAAGTAGAAGTGACATCAGTGTATCGGACCATTTTTTTTAACTATCCTTTCATTATCTATCTTATGTTCTTACTAATTCATTGAGATTTGTAAATTGAATGTGCTATACCTCTGTAAGAAGTACCCTTGTTCTTTTTCTGTAAGTAGGAACAAATGTGTTGAGTTAGATGTCATTTTTGAAAGGAGTGCTTATTTTGGTTTTGAAAAAAAGCAAATGCACTTCGTTTTCTTGGGTTTTTTGAGGTATAATTTTGTAGAGTTCATGATGTGGATCTGTGAAATTATAGTGCGCACAATTGGTATACAAAAGAAGTTTTTTTTTTGTAATCGTCAATGACTTGCATGATCACTTCTGGTTTCTACCGTCACTTCTATTCTTTATCTTGGTCTTGTTTATTGGAGTTATTTTCCCAGTTCTCAAACAACAGAAAACACAAACTGACGAAAGGGAAAAGAAAACACATTTGATTGTCGAAGACCTTATTTTAAATTTGACTGCGTAATACCAATTTTTCATTGCTCAAGAGGATATCCGATAGAGAATTCTTGTAGTTTTTTAAAATAATAGGGAATTTTTAGAGATTATGATATTTTAAGTTGTGTATTTATATAATTTTTCCTTGTTTTAAATCACTACTTCAGTCTCTATTTATTACTCACGGTGAGTTTTATTTGTTAGATTTATTATAACCTAATTGAGTATTGATGAAACTTGTAATTTGGAAAATTCTGTAATTTGTTTGGATGAAAAGAACCATAGCCAGTTTCCTATAATTCACAAGCATCTTTTAGGTGTCACGAACTGATTTTACAATTAGTCAGTTCATGTGTTTTTTTCCTTTTAATGCAAATGACTTAAACTTCCTTAAAAATATAAATATATAATACTAAAATGAACGATAAAAATAGAATAAAGAGGTAATTTACAAAAGATATTAGGGATAAAATAGCAAAAAGCTTAAATCAAATCAAAAGCGTGTAGAAACTATACCATCATAAGTTGAAGATGACCATCTTATGGTTCTTTTCGACTGATTTTACCTCATAAGCCAAATCTTTTTGTATTTACCAACAAATACATAGATGAGCCAAAAATTACTTAATATAAGATAATTTGGTAAACTACTAACTAGATTTTCTATGGTGTTATACTAATGCAACAAAATGCTTGGAGAACATCCCATTGCAAGAAGTGTTCTCTATAACTCCAAAAAAGTGGATTGTATTCTGGGGCAAAACTGCTCACTACGCTATCTGCAAACATCACCAAAAATATAGCACAAAATCAGCTTTAACTGGCAAGACATGTTATGAACTCGAAGCACCATCATATTCTACCATTACCTGCAACCCTTAAGATGTACTATTCTTGAATGTCATCATACCTCCCAATGTGGCCAGCTGAAATAACAAATGTTTTATAAGACGCTGAGAATGAAGGTAAATCATCACAAAGAAAGAAAAAAATGTTACCTGTATAATTTATCTGATGTGACCTCCTCCACCACCATGCTAAGATGTACAGGAACATCATGACTTGCTCTTATCACGACCAACTCCACAGATTCTCCAACATTATTCCACATGTTTTCGAATAGCTAATGACAAAAAAGCACACATATTAGAACCAGTTTGCATCCTACATTGCACTGATAAACACAAAACTAAGTACAAAAGAATAACTACATTGATAAAAATGAACATGCTCAGTTGCTCTCAGAGCGATACAACATAAGGAGCTCACAAACTTGTGAAGAAGCAATTGACATACCCTAAACAATAACAAGAAAGGTAATATACCTCCAAGAAACTCTGAATTCTTTTTCCACCAAACTGAATTATAACATCATTGGGTTTTATCCCAGCAGATTCAGCAGAAGAACCAGGTAGGACCTGTTGAACAGTTTTATCCAGCAATTAGTAACAACGATTTAACTAATTTCAACTAACAACATACATGGTTGAACAGACTAACTTTTAATAACAAAAGTTCATAACAACCTGCGCGAATAAGTTGGAACCATGTTGTTTACTACTTATCTTTTGCATTTGTAGCATGTTCAAAATTTCAGCATTTACAAATTAAAATGAAGTATTTTTCTTATGCACATGAGTTAACATGGACAATGAGGATTCATAGGGCCAACTCCAACTAGTTTGGATTGATGTGTAGTTGTTGAATTTCTTTATGCGTATCATATAGAAACGGGCACCTGATCACTGCACTCAAACCTAGCCTATTCTACCCTGGTGCTATAATGTGCCTACTTAATTCAACAACTATAAAGTAGAGGGACATCAATACCATCAAATGAGCGATTTCCAACAAAAAAAACTGTAATAATATATAGAGCATACCTCTTCAACAATGACACCTTTCAAGACATCAGGGAACTTTGAAATAATTCTTTCCAGAATTCGTAAGCGAGCTGCATAAAGGTTAGTTACTTCCATCCCAAGCCAAGGTCGACGTGACTGCCTATAATACAAATAAAACCTAAAGATTAGTACCAGGTATTTGTGATTAGATTTTCTATAAAAGTCTAAATGATCTCCACTTTTCTTCATTACATTTGAAACAGAGGTCCATCATGGATATGAGAATGGAACAACATATCTCCAGAAATAAAGGTCATAATTTTATCTGTTTTGCAAATTTTTCTATTCAATCTTTTGCAAGTTAGAGATAAACCAAGAATCGAAATAAAGTCTATACATTAGCAGATCATTAGGCAACACTTTGACACCACAATTCCTTAAAACTTGCGGTACCTGTGTTTCTTATAATGCTCCCACCATATGGAAGCTATATTGATTGGCAAGAATGCAATAGAGCCTGGATCATAAAAGCAAATACCAATGACTTCTCCATAGCGGTTAATAAGCGGCCCCCCAATACCGCTCTACAATAACAAGGAAAAAGCCCAAAATTAGCAATGTTAGAAAAACTATCAGACAATAGATATAGATATAACATACATATTATTTGTCATTAATTAAGAATATTCTCTCTCAATTTCATATTAAGTGATGCTATTAGCCTGTCACAACCCATAAGAAAGTTACTCACTCCTAGAGAGAAGTGCTTTACATCACATTCATGTGACAATATTGATATTCTTGAATTTGGAACAAAAGGGAGTATCCATTAGCAAATAAACAAAGTGACTAACTACCAAAGTAAGAGATAAATGTGAGAGAGATTTCTTTAAAAATAGTGAAAGAAAGTTACTCTCATAATATTGCAAGTCGCCTTGAAAAGCTCTTTACACTCTAAGTCATCGTCGCAGTGATCAATGCTACAAGGATCAACCATAAAAATAATTGAGAGAGAAGTCTCAATAACAAAAATGTCAATTGGATATGTTTGTAATAACATCAAAGTCAAACGAAAACACCAACCAGAATTCACCAGGAGCAGCCGTGATATCATATGGCTTCGCATAAAAACGTCCAACTGCAATAACTATATCTCCAGGAACAAGATCAAATGAATTTGAATGTGGACGAAGTTGAAATGAATTCTCCTCAGTACTCTGGAGCTGGCTCGGATCAATCGTGATAGAATCACTTAAATGAGCCAGGGATGCAATTGGAAGTGGTGTGTCTGATTGAATCTTCACGGCAGCAACATTGTAGTGGAGGTCATACGATTCGATTTGACCATCAAATGATCTTCCATTGAATAGGTACACGATAACCTAAATAAATAGTTATAATTATCAAATAATCTAGCAAGAATTGACATAAAGAGGATCACCAATAATCAAGAGATTAACAAATAATAATTTGGTTAAAGAAAATATTAGATAAATTTGAGAATGGGATAAAAAGAAATCACCAACCCTGATATTATCCGCTATAGAATTTCCACTCGTGGAACACCTAAAGAGACTTGCAGAGGTTAATATTATACTATAACTGTCGACACTTTCTATAATAGTCCCAGAACATTGAAATATCTCTTTTTCCCCTGCAATGAACACAAAAATAAAGAAACAAATATAGAAGGAGGCAGCAAATATGAGAAAAGAAATAAAACTATTAAGAATAAATACCCGAGTATGATTTAAGACTGACGACAGATGTGGAAACTTTTAAAACAGCCCTCTTTTTGTAAACATCTAAATGATTATTTTGAGGATTCAAATAAAATCCCTGTTCTGTTCGACTCAACTTTACTGGTTCACTTACAAAGTCAGAACCTGCATAATTCCAAACAAACAACATATGAAAATGAATTTTGATATCAAAGAAGTTAGAATTTTTTTTATGAAACTCACTGTATTGAGCCTCCTTTTGCTCCCTCTTCCACGGAGTAAAAGCTTCCACCCACTTCCTTTTAAAACCATTAAAAGTCATAATTTACCTACAAAAGAAGTCATTTTACTCCGACATAACCATTTGAAGGATTAAAATCAAATAAAACACTAATATGCAATCAAATTAGCATTTAACGATAATCTGATTTCAACACCTCTGAATATTCAACTTAAATTGTACCAAATCATAGGAAGCCCTCTCCCATATCACCACATCAAATTAAACATACCAAAGCCAGATACTTAAACCAGGTTAGAACACATAAAGAATAATAGGGACATACAACAACAACATCGAGAAAAAACACATTTGGACGAACAATAGAGCAGTAAAAAAGAATCAACAACAACCAGACAAAAGAAGCCTTCCACATTGCTCTATATTCTGCATTCCATGTTTCCCAATTGAAAATATGTTATTATGTCCCAACTACCAATGTTGCTAGGCAACAAGGTTGTACATGAGAGTTCATGAGGAGAGGTGATAATGCAATCCGGATTTGAGCTAAAGGAGGTTTTTCATTGGGAGTTAGTTAAATTAACTAAAGCTGATTTAGTTACAGTTTATCCCTTTAGGATATTAGGGGCATTTATTAGAAAAATAATTTATGTATTATTTAATTCCTTGTTAATATAATACATAGCAAACCATGGTATTAGACTATCAGCAATATATGGATAAACAGAGTTAAAGACAAAACTACCATTAATACACCAAACCAAAATATACCCCAACACAATACAACTAATCTCAGCATAACTAGGGTTTACATCACTGGTTTCGTTAGTTATTAACTTAGTTCAAATCAATCTTTGTGCGTCCTTGTTTGTTTTTAAAAAAACAAAACACACAAGGAAGAAACCATCGATGAAAATAGAAAATAAAAAATAAAAATGACGATAAATAAGGATTAATATCAAAAAGGACTTTCGAATTTCAAATACGATTTACCAGACTGAGAGTCCGCAGGAATATGAGCTCTCGCGGAGAAGCAGAAATCTCATAAACATGTGAGCCAAGTTGGCTAAGCGAAATCAACCTTATTACTAAAAGCGGAGTAGTTTTTTTATATTAAATAAAAATGTAATGTCTAGGTGGTCACTAAATAATATTATATTGTATATGTAAAAATAATATAATATATGTATAAAAGTTAAAAATAACCTTTTATAATATGTATTGAGTTCTTAAATTTTTTTAGTGAAATTTTTAATTTTATCATTGAATTGGGGTTTTGGAGGTTTATCTCTTGCATATAAATAGACGAGAGGGATCCTTCCAAACCTCTACCCTCTGTTTCAAATAGAAATTACCTATTTTCTTTAGTTTGTTCAAAAAAATAATTTTTTTATAATATTTTAACTTTAATTTTATGTGGTATATTTAAGAGCACAAGATTAAAGGGTATTTTGATATATTTGACATAATTTTAATTTAAAACCACAAGATTAAAAGTCTTCTTTCTTTTCTTAAATTCCGTTTTAAGTCAAACTAGATCATCCTTTTTAAAACGGAGTGAGTAAGATATTCAAAAAAAATTAAAATTATAATATATATATATAAATAGAGAGAGAAATTTTAAACTCATAGACATTATAAAATTAGATATTGACTTAGTGATCGAAAAAAATTTCTAAATTTACTTTAAGTTTTCAAGTTTAAATTGCGACCACTAAAATTTTATGTAATTGATAAATAAAGCTAATGTGAAAGCCATACTAATCGAACCAAAAAAGTTTCAAAAGCAAACACAAAAGCACTTTACAATAATTAGTCAATGAACTATGGATATAATAATAATAATTTGTGATGATAAATAAATATGTGAGTGATAGAAAATACTATTATTTATGATGTAAAATATAAATTTATTTTATTTTAATTTTTCTTAAGTATAAATGTCTTAAATTAATCAACTTTTTATCATGTTGACAGTTTAAGTGTATTTCAAATATTTTGATAAAAAAAGTGTTTATTAGCAATTATTTATCAAACACATCAATAACTTTTTTTCAAATATAACACTTTTATTTAGACACATAACTACTTATTCTAAAAATAAGTTTTAGCTCTTTTAAATGTTAAAAGTTATTTTTTTAAGCCAATGCAAACGGGCTCTTAACACAATTGTGGCTGGTCCAAAGGAAATATAAAAGGAAAAGCACACTCGTACTCAAAAACAAAAATTACTTATAGATAGCCATCTTTTACTTAATTACTTTTTGATATAATTATAGTATATATGTATATATATATATATTCTAATGACATCAAGAAGGAAGATGTAGTGTTTCAATGAAAAGTATTTAGATACCATCAGAATTTATTTATCTATCTATATATATATATCAACAGTGGTTCAATGAATAGAACAAGGAGTAGTTAGGTAAATAGTTTGAATGTGGGTCAAATTTGGGTAAATACGTTATCTAATGAGTTCAGTTTATGTAGCTTTTCCAATTATTAAAAAAAAATTTATTTAAATACATATCTTATTTTACTGTAATCTATAAAACTTTTTTTTACCATTTAAAAAAGTTACAAAATTTGCTCTGGAATACATCTCCTCTCAGATATATACCTCTTTTCTTGGATACAGTTATCCCCTCTCTCACATACATTCGTGAATTATGTGTCCACAATTTTTTTGAAGAGCAATGCATCTCGAGTTCACGATTTATGTATCCGCATATCTGTTGATGTATTCAAAATTCTTTAATTTTAAAATTTTTTGTATTTTAAAAAATAAAAAATATACTATAATTAACTCTTAACAATATATATATATATACACACATAAAGCACTTAAATTTTTTTTTATGAATTGCGCTGATTAGTGCTACAAAATACATATTTTGAAATTGCATGCTATAAATTAATGATTTTTTTTTAAATAGACGTGTGTGGATTGGCTTGTGCAACCTACCGACGAATTTCAATGCAATAATAATTTAATTATACTATTGATAATTGTATAGAATGATTTTGTGTTTAGATCTTAATATAAATATTTAAAAAAAAAATTCAGGGCAGGAAAAGAGAAAATCGAAGAGGATATTACAATATGATTACAAATACTATTATGTTTAGATGGTTAAATACTTAAACTAGTAAAATTCCTCATATAAACAATTAAATACAAATTTAAATGAATGTTAAAAGAGAAAATGGTTACCCCTCTAAACTGTTTAAAACTTGAATTATTATCACTCTAAATGCCTACGTGGCAAATATAGTTAATATTTTTCACTAATATATGCATTTTATTTTATTTTTTAATTTTTTAAAGTTATTTTTACTTATAATTTGATTTCTTCTGCACGACAACTTAGTAGAATATCAATGGCAGCTATCATATATCGATTTTTTTTATTCTATATTCAATATCCAAAAGACCCATGAAAATTTCTGTATGAGTTGACAATTTTTGAGATTCGATTTCTTTCCAGTTTGAAGCTAGTTAGATGTATTATTTAAGGATTTTTTTAAAAATGTTTCAAACAGTCAATTCAATGGGTGAATTTTACTTCAACTTCAAATAATACTTCTCAACTGACTTGCATATTGTAATTTTCTTGCAAATATGATAAAATGCAGTTCATATTCTTCATTTTTTTGTATGATTGTCACAAAAATTTGATGCAAAACCACCTAAATCTTTTTTAAATTGCCTCAAATTTTAGATATAAGCTTATCTCAACATTTTGATACTTTTGATTAATTACCCATTCAAACGGAGCTCGTCAGTGGTAAGTCAAAATTAGAACTCAAGCTTATAAGCTAACTTTAATGGTGGTTTCAAGTTGTGCTTCAAAGTCTCAACCGTTAGCTTCGATTTTCAGCGATACGATATTCTTTGAACCATCGACGAACTCAGTTTCTCCTAATTTAAGAATATAGATTCACAAAATTCAATATGAATGCTCTCAATTTTTGTGGAGTTCCAACATTCATCATATCCAAAAATCATTGCTATATATAAATTCAATTATTTCAAAGAATATCGTATCGCTGAATACCTAGTACCAATAGTGCCTTAGAGACTACCCCTGAATATAGAATTATGGGCGATATTTGGAATAGACATGTGTTTGTTGATCCTCAGTCTTTTACCTATGAAAAGAATCTTCATCCTTTTGTTCCTACGAAACAAATGTGTGGCTTCATTTGTGGAGAAGGTTGTTCAGGTGGCCCTGTTTTCAATGTTAGAGGGGAAGTTGTAGGAAGGTTGCAATGTCTGCAAATGGATATGAAATCGCTATTCACATTGCAATATTGAGAGAAACATTAAGGCTGTTTAAAGAAGAACACTCAGACGACGATGAAAATGGGAAAAGAAAAGCAATACCTCATTCTAAAATTCAGGTTCATACCATCTTTAGTCTAAATTATTTGTACAAGTAACTCATTGTGCTCAACACATCAATTTAATGTAGGCTGGAGATTCAAATAAATTCAAAGCACATCATGTCGATCGAAAAGGAAAAGGTAAGTTATGCCTTTCATGAATATTCATTTTTTGACATCTTCCTCATTAGACTTCTCTTTTAACTACCACTTTGTTGATGTGGATGAAAATTGTCCCCTACTGATAGTTAGGTTTTATTAGTGGGGGCATATTGGATGAGGCCTGTAGTAGGGGGTAAGTTATTTATTTATTGGAGTAGAAGTACTTACCATCTTTGTTAAGTTAGTCTGATTAGCTATATCATTTTTTAAATTAATTTTTATGACGTGTCAGTATTGGAGATAGAAGATGTATGTTGAATCTTGTCCAGATTTTTCGGTGTGTATGATTGATTTTGGATTCTAGGGGTAATGAATCCCTTATTTTTAACATCCCAAGTTGAAATAATTTTTTTCTGTATTTGTAAACTTGAGAATCAAGGTACTTGCCTTTTCGGCATGAAATAATTTAACCTGGGTCGTTCTTCTTTGTTACTCTGTGTTGGTCTTCTTATCTGTTGTCTCCGTTTTGTGAAGGTTATTGTTTGTCAAGGTTTGATTCTTTTGGGATTTGATGTGCTTCAATCGGTGGATATGGTGTGATACATATTTCTTTGAAAGTGTCTTTCTCTTCCTCCGTAGTTTCTGTCACAGTATCCGTAATTGTATCAGCAACGATTCCATTGTTGAGTGGCGCAGGTGGATTTAAATTTTCTTGGCAATAGTTTATATTTTGGTTATGATAGAATTTGGGTTTTTCTAGTGAGAAGTTTGACCTTCAAGATAGTGTTATGTGACGTCCCGCCACAATTTTAGTCTCATTTGGAGTTCGAATGGGGGCAGAAGGATCTAGAGTTGTGAAGAGGTCTACAGAGAACTGTAGAACCTTCTAGATTTCTGGAAAAGACTAGAGAATTCATATTTAAGATATTTTTGGAAGAGTTTAGCATATTCTAAAAAGTGTAGAATTCTTTAGAATATGGACTAAAGTATAAATATTTTTGAAACTTGTAGAGTAATTTTATTCATACTTAGGCCTTTAGAAAGTAGTATAAATAGAAGACCTCTCATTTGTAAATCAATCCAAGAAGAAAAGTTGTAAGCAAATCTTTCAAAGTAATACAAGTCTTCTTCTAAAGTTTTCTTTTGCTCTTTCTAAGTCTTTTTTTGCATTCTTTTAGCGTTCCGAATCTTAAAAGCTTACTTGAGCTTACAAGATTATGAAAAATTCGTGAGTAAGTTGTCAAGTGTCCCACGGGGTCTTAGCAAATACTCTAAGTCCATGACAGTTAGTTCCTTACAAGATCATGAAAGATTCGTGAGTAAGTTGTCAAGTGCCGAACGGAGTCTTAACAAATACTCTAAGTACGTAACAGTTAGTTCTGAAAGGAGAAATTATTTTCAA